GTGCTATCCCCACGGTGAGTGATAAGCTCTAAGCCTGTTAGCAGGTAGCATATGAGAACTATCTCTAAATAACAGGTACCGGTTTATAGTTTTTATCAGTTTTATATTTTTCTTTTCTACTATAGTCTATTGTTTTTTAGAAAAAAGGTTTGTTGTGTTTTTGGTACAAGGGATCATCAGAAAGAGTTGTTGATTGCACTTCTAATTATAGAGATATAAATAATTAATAATTAATAATGATTATCAGCTTTTTTTTTCACTACTAATATTTTAGTTTGTAACATATTATCTTTTTTTTCTTTTAGTAACAGGATTTTATCACTTGTAATATTGTCATTACTTGTATTACTATTACTGGTATTATCATTATTGATATTGTTATTACTAGTATTATTGTAAATAAGATGCTTTTAGGTATTGCTATCTTTCAATTTACTTTTAATTTTGCCAGTACTTTTCCTTGTTATATTTCTAACTTTCTACCTTTTCTTTTGGTTTTAGTTTTGTACTGCTTGTTTTGGTGTTACTACTTTAGTAGATGTTACATAGATTTTGTAATTTTTGTGTTATATTATTTGTTGTTTTGTATTATTGATATATTTTTTTTGTTATATATCTAACTTCCATTTTTTTTTTATAATTGTTAATTTCAATTTTGTGCTACTTACTTTAGTACCATTATATAATAGATATTATATTATTTGTCTTGAAGTGAATTTTATTATTCTCTATTACTAATATATTTTTTTGTTGTTATATATCTAACTTTCTATAACTATTGGTTTTAGTTTTATATTATTTGTTTTAATATCATAATTATAGTAAATAATATGTTATTTATTACTTTTAAAATAGATTTTATTATTTAATTTACTCTAGTATTATTGGTGCTTTTTATTGTATTTGATATATATTTTTTACTTTTTTTTTGTAATCATTATTAGTGTTGGTTTTGTAATATTGTTTTTGTAGTGACTATTTTGTTGTTATTAGAGATTTTATTGCTTTTGGTATATTTCTTGGTATCTTTTCTCTTAATACTGTCATTTAAAAATATTTATTAGTTAGGGTTAGAGTGAGCTAGTTAGTAGAATTAGGGTGAGTTAGTAGAGACAAACATAACTCATATTCTAGCAAAGTTTTTTTGCTAGGATTTGATTAGGTAAAATAAAAGTTTGCAAGCCAAAAATCTATAAACATATATATAGGCATTAATTATATATGATATATGTATTAAATAAATCAATAATTAATCAATTAATTATATATATAATTTCTAATTTTATTATAAATTTCTATTTTTAAAAAAAATAAAAAAGTAATACTATGTCGGTCACGTGACAGGGTGCAAGGACCCGTAAAAATTTTTTGTTATATGAAATCTTTATTTGCATTATTGCAAAAATTTGTATTAATTTTTAATAAGATATTAGCTTTAAAATAATTTGCAATCTTTTTCAGAAAACAACAGAAATTTATTCAAAATTTTGTTCCGACCTTGCTCGTCTTTTATGTTTATTCATTTTCTCTTTCAGAAATTTTTGGAATCTTAATTCAGCACATTATCCGACATTATTAGCCAATCAAATTTATAAAATATCACGTGAATTTTACCCTTAGAAATTTGTTTTAATTTGTATAATCAATCTAAATTTGTATTAATTTATATACAAATTTTTACAGGTCTCTAACACTGGGTGGTTTTTTAATATAACAATAAATAATAAGTTTATAATTCATAATTGTAAAAAAAGAATTTGTGTGATACTTACTATTGCAAAAGTTGTAACTGCTCCAGAATCATGAAATATAAACTCTAATAGTGTCAGGCTTAGTGTTGGCAGTATTATTACTAAATTATGGCATTATGGCATTTTACTACCTGGTAGAATTAATTATGGCATGGAGTCTAATTGCTGTAATTATTATATACCATAATGCCGCAATGCTGTAATGCCACAATGCCATAATGTCATAATGCTATAATACCATAATACCATAAGCCGTAATGCTATAATGCTGTAATATCACAATACTATAGATCTTTGTATTGTAACAATGTGATATTGTAATACTATTACATTATAATAATATAAAATAAGATAGCTATGCAGCATATGACATCATGCAGAACTAGTATGATCACACATAGTATTGGCAGTAGAATTATTGAATTATGGCATTATGGCATTGATTATAGCATAGAGCCCAATTGCCATAAATATTATATGTTGTAATGCTATAATGCCACAATGCCATAATGCCATAATGCTACAATGCCATAATTTTATAATTTTATAATATTAATTACTATATAATTTAAAAATAAAAAAAATAATGAATAATTTAATGAAAATAAATATAAATATATAAAAATAATAAATAAATATAAAATAAATATATTTAATAAAACATTTAAACTATAATATTTTGAACAATATTTCATAATATAAAAAACCTGCAACAGGAAAAAAAAATTATAAAAAATATTAAATAATTATAAAAAAACTATAAAAGAAAAAAATTATAATTATTTGTTAAAAATAATAAATTAAAATATATATTATTTAATTTTGAAATTTTCATCAAAAAGTGGTTCTAAATTTAAATTAGAATCAGAATATTCTTCAGTTTCTAATTGTTGTTGATTATTTAAAAGTAGGTTATTTTTAACTTCATTATTATCATAAAAATTTAAATCTATAAATTCTGCTATAAGCAAATTATTAAGATTTGTTTTGCTTTCATTATTATCTAAATCAAAACTATCATTTTCATCTTCATCTTTATCTATATTTTCATTTTCTTCTGCATCAAAAAGATTACTATTATCAATTAAAGCTTCTGATATTTCATTAATTGTAGTTTTTAGTTCTTCTTCATTAAAATTTTCTTTAGAAAATTTTAATTCAGATTTCATATTTGTTATATAAAATGAATG